TTAGTCTGCTCACGCAAGTACTCAGCACGGACTCTGAGATGACGTGTTCTCCAGGATCCGTGGCCATCAGAAATGGCCAACGACGCTTGAGAATCAACATGCAACTCACGGTCCTCAACACTGAAACCAACAGACAACAGCAAGGCTTGCATCGACTCCAACGCAACTGCGCACTCAAGCGATGCCATGAGCTCAGACTCTGCCGTGGACAGGGTTACAAACGCCTGTCTTGCTGAGCGCCAAGCGATGGGACAACCATGCAAACACACGCACCAACCAGCATGAGAACGTGATCCTTCAGGGGAGAAACTAGCATCACTCCAACCATGCAACTGCGTACTGTCAGCAACAAACACAAGCGATGCCGACTTCGTTCTCTGGAGGTAGCCCAAGGCCCGATCAGCAATACGCAACGCACGATGCGGAGCCTTAGTGGCCAAGCTTGCCAACAGTGAACAAGTAAAGGCCAAATCGGGGCGAGACCTCTGCGACAACCAAAGCAGGGCACCAGTCACTTGCTGAGCTTGATGTACAGCCTCACTTGTTGGAGGAGCGTCACTCTCCACGACCTCAAACGACGCAAGCTCCCTGGGGCACGGAATCCGTCCACGAACATGCACTGGAACGCTGTGAATCCTCAGGACCTCCTCCGCATAGGACTGCTGCGACAGAACAAACCCACGCGGGACAACAAGAATGTCAACTCCCAAGAACTTGATCGGCTGCTCTGGCGTTGCTACCACCAACGGCGTAGTAGCCCACTTGTGCTGCAGCGCTTGCGCCAAGCTTCTGAGAACGACACTCGAACCACAAAGCAAGAAGTCGTCAACATAAACCAACAACGCACCAACAACTTGACCGTCTTTCACCTGGAGCACCTTCCACCAGTTAGGGTCCAAGGACGACTGCTCAAGACGAAAGGTCACGCCATCGCACTCCCACGACAAGTCGCACAAGCAAGAGTCACGAAACTGACCCCACAAACGCGGAGCCTCACGCAACCCATACACAGCATGTGACAAAATCCACAACTCATGCGCGACTGCCAAGCCAAGTTTGATCAACAAGCGAGGCGGGGTTAGGGCGAAAATAGGGAAACCTTCCAAGTCAGGAATTGGGGTTTTCAAGAACGCACTCGTGATGTCCAAGCAACCCAACAACCAACCAAAGAAACTTGCAAGAGCAATCACCGTTCTCAAACTTTCGGCCTGTGCACCTCCAGCGTACACGTCTAGACCTGTGTTCGGCGCTGCGTTTCCGCAGGCTACAATCCGCGCCTTTCTGCGATACAGCCCTTCTTTCTGTGAGGCGGCCGCGGCCACTTCACCAACAACGGCTGCACCTTGCTCAGGCGGTTTCACAGTGAACACAAACTTAGACGGTACTACTTGCAACCTGGGGTTCTTGAGGTACTCGGCTTGCTTGGGGTC